TTTCGGCCTTCGGGTATCGGGGCTGAAGATATTGGGGCTGAAGAGGACTCTAAAAATCCCAAAGTCAAAGCCCTAAAGCCCAAAAACCTGATTCCAAGCAAGCCCTCAACCTTATGCCAACATTCTGATGCGCTGAAACACCAGCTGGAGGGATGCGCCCAAAATCCCCGGTCAACAAGAAAGGCTCCCAAAGGGTAAAACCACCCACATGCGGGCAGCAGGTGTAGTGGAGCTTTTCCAGCAGCGAGGCCGAGGGCAGCTGGGCTGCAGCCGGCTGGGCGACCTATCAACGAGCTGGCTCACCCCGAAAGTCTGCCAGTCCCGACTCTCGACAACCAAACACAGCCGACTGCAAGGCAAGGGGAGGTAGAAGGGCGGAGAGAGAGGGAGCGAGAGGGGGGAGAGAGGGAGAGAGAGAGGAGAGGGGAAGAAAGGGAGAGGGAGAGGAAACAATAAAAAAGATGAGAGAGAAAGAGAAAAAGAAAGAAAGGAAGGAAGGAAGAAAGAAAGAACGTGCGTGAGTGTGAGAGAGAGAAAGAAGGCGACCTGGAGGAAATGTCATTTGAGACCTGGCTGCTTTTGAAGCCCCAAAGCAATATGTGGCATGAGCTCACAGCTTCAAACCGTACCTAGCACTTAAGTCCTCCTCCAATCCCCCGTCATCCCAAACCATCTCACTACGCTACTACCCACAAGGCGTCAAAACCGGAACAGAAGCGCACGATTAGCACGCCGAAGTTTTTGCCTTATCCAGGACTTAAGAACACCTCGAAGCAAACGCCCTGAGCCCCGCACTACCAGCAGCGCGCCCAGCAGCATCCAGCGCCGGGAGCCCACCATGGCACCGAAAGGAGCCCAAAGCCCTACGAGTCAGGACGAAAAAAGAAAAAACAAGTCTTGCGGCAAGCTGAGACCTTCATAATACGGTGAATACGACAGGTTGCAGTCAACGAGGGCACTAGCCGGACATAGCCGGCCACAGCCTCAACTTCGAAATGAGTCTTGCAAACTTCAACGGCATTGACTAGCACAAGGCCCTGCAACAAAACAAAACCCTCGACTTCTGTCGTTATGGTGGGGAGTGGGGATACTTTGAAGATCGAAGCCAATCGACTGCAAATCTGGGTCTCGGACCTAGGGCTCAAAGCTTTAAAAAGAGCTTCCAGGCTCGGGGCTTGGCGTTTAGAGATTCAGTCATGTCAAGACCATCTGGAAACTGGAGCCAATAGGAGCATCTACAGGAGCAGGAAGCGAGACATGCCTAGCATCGAGGAGCTGCTGGGCCAGAAGACTTCTTGTTTACACTTTGGGGGGGGGGAGGCAGGGGAGGCAAGAACTCTAAGCCCCCAAGTGCTCCCCAAGTGCTCTGGCCTGACAGCCTCGGCCCAGGACCGGGCAAAGGATGGGCGCCCGTGCCTTGATGCGTCTCGGTGAAGTCAGGGTTCTCCAGGCTTCCAAGCTTCCAAGAAAAAACCATCCCGACTCCTAACACCAAAGCCTATAAAGCCCAAAGAAGCATAAATCCATGCTATACCAAAGCCCAAATTTTCAAACTCCCCGCAATCGCGAGTTCACAGGGCGGCTGTGGGCGCGGCTTTCGTGCGGCCGAACCAACCTTTGGAACTGGCTGACCTCTCACAGCAAACAAGCGGGGATGAAAGGCAATGGCTCGGGATCCTTGACTGCCAGAGCCCCCAAAGACAACGTTCTAGATTAGAGCAAGGTTCAGGGCTGGTCGCTGGCATGGAGGAATAACCCGTTCCACAACCCCTGAAAGCCTGCCAAACACCCTGCAATATGCCAGAAGTTGACCTCTTATACGGTCCCGATTGCTTTCTGTTTCTTTGTTGTGGAGGGGGCGGGTGTTGAGTATGAGGGAACGGGATAGTCGGCATTTGGGTTCTCAAATTTCTGAGCTTGAAGGACTTTCTTTCGAACCTTCGGATGTGAAACAAGAAGCCATGGACAAGACCACGTCAACCCGAGTCATGAACCTTGCATCCTCAGCTTCCTCAGCTTCCTCAACTTCCTCAACTTCCTCAACCCTCCTAAGAGTAAAGAAGAAGTTGACGGACGAAGTCGGCCTGCTGGCTCTGCGGAGCCAGCATGCCGTGCCCGAAGCAGCCAGCCCATGCAGATGCGCCGACTCTACGTCATTTGAAAAGAACCTTTTGGAGACTTTGTGTATCGCTTGTTGGGGCTTAGGCCTGAGGGCTTGGGGCTCTTCGGGGTCTCATAATTAGGGTCGGGGGCCGTTGCGGTCTGCTGTCCCTGGCTTCCCAACCTGTCTCGCTTATGACATTCAGCCAAATTTGACACAATGCTTTGTCCGAGGAGACGTGGCATGTGAAAAACACATACGACATAACTGCCGGAAGCGAGCGCCGGGCGAGGCATTCTCATACCATAGCCATAGGTCCGACCAATGTCGCACAGCTCGCACATGACCGATCAGCACGGGGCTTTGATTTGTCCTACCAGCGCTTCCTCCTAGAAACAAAGGGTTCGTGGAGGATGAAAGGCACCGGCAGGCACGTACGAGAACTCCCCGCAGCCACAATCTGGGTGGCTGCACCTGGCGAGCTACAAGCTCAGGGCTAAGGGCTCAAAAACTCTTGTAGGCGAAGGGAGACAGATTTGAGTCGTGGCTGTAGGTATGAATGAGAACGTGTTCGGTTTTGCTTGTGCTTGCGGTTGCTCTTTCAAAGGTTCTCGCGTGGCCATTTGGCCAGTGCGAGCTGTTTGCCAGAGCTAGCACACGTCCCAGAATTTGGGGGGGGGTGCATGCTGCCGCTCAATGCTGCCCCCAGCGTTTGCTAGGAGGGGCACTTCTGTGCTCTGATCGTACGGGCTGACTGCTTGGATGAAAAATCATCTGACTACTCCATGTATCTCTAAAACTGTGCTTGCCATCGTACAGAACGGCACTGTTGACTGAAAGCTGCTACTTGGCCATTGCACTGGGTGTGCATCTTTGTGGCCAGCCTTAGGGTAGCCCTTCAGCAGTATCCTTCTCAGTGTAAGTTGGCCTACACTCGGACATCTTCGGTTTTGGAGGTGCAATGCTCTGCTCGTGGGGCCACCGGCGATGAAGAGCTGTCCCTTTCGAGACCGCCGGCCGCACGGATTTCGGCGCACGGGCGTTCAAGAAGTGCGGAGGCCGAAGGGGGGGCGAAGCCAATAATGACTGAGTGCTGGGGACATCTCCCTTTACACCATGGATGGCCTCACGCTTGAAAAGAACTCGGCCCGAAGCGGAAACATCGCGACTTCGGACGTTGCTGCTGCTTGCACTCAGAACAGAACAATGCGGGGTCCGGGCCCGGCTTTGTTCAGCTCGCTGTCTTGGGGGCTTAGGAGGGCCCAGGACCCTCGCAACAAACAGCCACAGAAGCAACAAAACAGAGTCTTAACAAATACATAGAGTAGGCTCGAAAATATATGCAGCCGAGAATCCCTCCTAAAGGCATCCTACGATCCCGGAGCCCCTAAATCCCAAGAGGCCCGGAATCATTGGGCGCCGTCTCACGGCGCAGGCGCCCTCCGTGGCGGGGGCGGCCCCTCCTGCTTTTGGGGAGCTTGCTTCCGTGGGGGTACTCTTTGGGGGCTGAGAGACTTTGGGGCTTCGATTCTAAGAACTTGCGCATCTGGGATTCACTGCATCGGCGAGCCGGAGTCAGAGTCATGACTTGGGCTGGGCCGATGCTACACAACGACCCGAAACCCCAAACTTCCCAGGCCAAGCATCCCAAACTCGACTGAGCCCCGTTCCGAGAGCCCCCTCCCCCCCGCCCGCAACCTTTCCGGAGAGGTTGTAATCGTGGGACAAGATCTCCCAGGGTGCTGGCGCCCTGCAGGCTCCACGGTATGCAGAAAAACTTGGGGTGCGTGGGGGTGCACATGTGTGATCAGTGTGCTTGGGGCGCATGTACTAAATTCCGGGCTTCGGCTTCCACTTTGGATGTGGTGTACTTCGATGTGTGGTGTCTGACAAACAAAGGCAGCTCCGAAGGGCTTCTGGCTGTTGAAGAAGAGATCCGCTTCGTGCGCGTTCGCGTGCCCTGCTGCATCAGGCCTCGCAGAGAGAGCTCTCCAAGAGAGCCCCAAAAGAGAGCCACACATGTCGGTAGCAAAGCGGGCAAACCAAACCCGAAGATGTTCGAATGACGCCTGACGTCGTTTGAAAAAAAGGCAGATGTCAAGTTTGAGGTCCAATCGGGAGGGTGGATAAGGTTGTGGAACTAGGGATCTGAGAGCTTCTGCCATGTCCAGGTCTATTTGGATCGTTGGATCATGCCGTCTATTCTCACTTCGCTGCAGCCGGCAGGCCTCCACTTTTCGTTGCCAGGGATCTGGGCAGGACGGACGCAATCGCGACAGCGGTTCAGGACTCCCATATAGAAGTGGAACTAGCAGGCATCCCTAGAGAAACGCTTGAAGTTAGGTTGAAACCTGCTTGCGAAGAGTATGTTTGCATCAAACCGAAAACATGTGAAGCGATCCAAGATCAGATATACCGGGCAGGTATTGAAGTAGCTCTTCAAAAACCAAATCCATGAACCCTAAACCCATAGCCCTGAATGCCAAAGGCCCCAGCACCCTAAGCAGCGCGAGAACATCGAGAGATACTCTCCGAAGTGCCAAAACCCATGCGAGCTGCAAGCGCTTGTTTGGGGTTTAGGGTGGCCCCGCCGGCTTTCGAACATTCGTGAATGAAGTGAATGAACAAGTGTGAACGTATGAAATGAACCTGCAAAAAAGGCTAGAAAATAATGTAATTAATGGGGCTCTTTTTGCACACTTTTCTGAACTTTAGAATATTGAAGGTTTTCTAAACTACATAATCTACAACTCGTTTATTGGCATTTTCGTTTTGTTTTTCTAGTCCCTTATCGATTAGTATAGACTATTCGTATGAAGATAGTAGTGCACTCTCACTTCACCCTTAACTCCAAACCCGAAACCCCCGAAAGCCCCGAAACTTCACCTAGATCCAGGGCTCAGGCCATGTGAAATCCACGTGGGGCGTCGTAAGGCATCACCTTCCCTGCACAAAAAGCCCAGAGGTTGGGGCAGCGTTGGGTGCCGGCTTGAGGGATGTTCGGGTTAAGAATGTTGGTCTCGTGAGCTTTTCGGGCCATTGGAATTCCAGTGGGTTTGGAAATGCAGGTGGGGAAGAAGCTAAGCACAAACTCTGGAACCTCAGCTGGGTTCGCAAATTCAGGGCTTTTTGAACTTCCCTTCAGGCCACCAGCCTGGCCCGCGGCTCTTGTTCCACCCCACGCCGCCATTGTGGCCGCTTCCATGTCTGAAGCGTAGGTGAGGCACCAGCGTCTCAGTTTGAGCTCAGTGGGATGAGGCACAAACGGCACAAACGGCACAAACGGCACCAACATCCCTACAAACCCCCCCCCCCCCCCCAAACCCTTCGAGAGGAGGCACCACAACGGAGCTGTGGTCCAGCTCATAGGAGCCAAGGGAGCGCTCGTCCACCATCAAGCCGCCTCCACTTGAGCTTTGGAAGGCAATTATTTCTAAGGCGGAGCCCTCGAGAGGCTAAAGCCTGCAAGGTTTCAAGCGGGGTTGGGATTATTCTCGCCAAGTGGATGTTCAACGACTGTTTGCGGGCCACGGCCTTGGCAAAGGAGACGCTGGTCTTTCATCTTGTGTCCCAAGCCTCGGGTGAAGGGCCGCGCTAGGGTAGAGGGTTCAGATTCAAGGTCGGAAGAGTTAAGGCCCATAGCCAATTCTCTGAAGTCCTTTGAGCAGTGTGTTGGATGGCTCTTGAAATGCCGGAGGCTCTTGAAATGCCAAGGCTGTTGCAGTCTGTAAGCTGGAATGCCAAGCAGAACGAGCCAGGACAGAACCGATGCAAACAAGGACCACGGTGCTACAGTCCTGGGGATTGTAACGGGGCCTTTTGACGACAAAAGGTTGTTCCCCCGATCGCAGGACAAGAGCACCCAACATCTGAGGCATACAGCATGCCCTAAACACTGAACCCGTGGCCCGAAGCCCTCTGAGCCCTACAGCCTAACTCTTACCCCAAACCCAAGACCCATAAACCGCGAAATCCCTAAACCCGAAAAATGCAAGTGCATCCTCGTAGCCAGCTTCCAAGCGTTGCTTCAGCTCCCGAACAGTGTCTGTAGGAGAAACCTGCACTGCAGATAGGGCTTTCTAGGGTTTAGGGACTGAACTTACGTTCTGGACGTAGTAGAGGGCTTATTTTACGTTTGCCATGCGCTGCCGACAGTCTTTTGATGCAGCTGGAAAAGTAAATTGGGCGCGTTGTCGCTGTCGTCAGGCGATCACCGAATGTGGGCCTTAGACCCAGAAAGTCTCTTCTATATCCTTCTGTTCGGATAGCGGGGGCTTTAGGGGTAAGGGATTCAGGGTTGTTATTGACGTCCAAGGGGCTGTCGCGAAGCCAGGGCATGTCTACAGGGTCCGACTCGCAATTTACAGTTTCGGGTTCAAGCGGTTCAGGGTTCTTGTGGGTTTGGGGGTCGGTGGTTTTGCTTCTGTAGCACTTCAGGGTTCAGTGTACTGATAGCAAGGCTGAACAAGACCTGGGCGCGGGTTGTGCGAAGGGCCTTTGTGGGTTTGGGCTGGGCTTCATAGAACCTTACACCCTCGGGGTTCATTGTGCTTCAGGGAATAACGGGCCTGCAGTAGAGTTCCCTTGCCGGCGCTGTCGCGGACGCGCAGCTCGAAAAGGTCCCAGCGTCGGGCGGGGATCGCCTCGAGCAAAGACCGAGGTGAGGGTTTGGAGCTTAGAGGCAGCATTAGAAACAGGTTTTACAGAAGTTTGAAAGGTCGAATTTGAGAACTTGCAAGCTCGGGCAGTGCTCTCCTGGCCTCCGCAAACTCCTGATGGAAGCCTCCGGGAGGTGGGTTCATGGCCACCCCAGCCACAGGGCGACGAGCAGAGCAGCGGACGTTCACGGCAACAACTTGTCACATTGCAACGGTTAGCTCCGCCTAGGCCTTTGTTGCTCTGCAAGGTTCCTGGCTCTGTGAGCAGCCTGTTGCTGTGTTTCCTGCCGCAACACACAAGACCATCTTGAGCCAATGCAAACTGTTTTGTCTCAGGGATTCAAGCTTCTGATATGGAGCAAAACCAAGACTGCCAGGTCCATCAGGACAACAGCCAATGACCAAACCCATAAAGTTCACGTCCTCTCAATTCTAGTTCTTTTTGGGGTCCCTGGTGCACTGTGGCCCTGTATTTCGGGTACCACAGAAAGGGACCCTGATTTCTCAGAACTGACCCAATGACCCTTGAAGCCACCTCTCCAATCCAACCAGAGCCAAGAGACGAGCCTAAGCTTTGGAGCACCTTTGGACTCGATCAGCCGATGCCTGGGGAGCAAACTCTGTCTGACCGCCTCCTTTTCAATAGCTTGGGGCTCACGACTCCATTGGGCACATGCGAAGAGCCAGAAAACAGCAACAAGCCGTTGATGCCACGGAGAGCCCGTGCCCTAAAGGCCAAACCTCTCGGACCCTTCACTCTCACAGCCGAAGCCCGGATGCATTGAACCTCGGAACACTGAACCCTCCAGGGGTGCTCAGCAGCGGGCTCGTCAAACGAGTGACCACAGAAGCCTGGGACGCGGATCAGTGAGAGCTTGGGGTGCAAAGAGGTGCTTGAAGCCACTAGAGGCCTGGCAATGGGACGACAAATCTCAGCGGAAACAGACTGTAAGCAGGGATCATGAGCTATGTCGCCACGGATACAACACGAACCATCAGGCAAGCTGCAGTTTGTTGCCCCAGTGGCACGTGCACAGGGTGTAGAGGTCCTGACAAGAAGCCCAGGTCGTGGCAAGCGATGGCAGAGGAAATTGGCCAGGGAGCCCCTGAAATATCCTGAATCCTCGAGTCGTTCAAAAGCACGTTTTCACACAGCTGACCTGGCCAATCTGATGGGACACTGTGTCTTCCTCCAAGAATCTCAAAGACAGCGAACGTCGAACCCCGCCGACCTAGCTCAACTTTCACCTGAGCACGCTTACCCGGCCTCCCCCCTAAACCTTAAGCCTTCCGGCATCAGCCCCAGCTGCAACTGAACCAGGATCCGGCTTAGGATGCGACCTTCGTGAACATATGAATGTATGGGCGTTTTGGCGTCTCTGGCACCACAAGTTCCCAGCTTCTTCTTAAACACACTGCTTGGGAGGCCTCGCAGAAGCGCCCGGCGAACTCCCAAGGTCCCGCATCTGAGCTTGGGCGGTGGCTGGGTCGGTTATCAAGTTTAGGACTCCTGAACTTGCAGCTTGACAGTCCGTAGGCGATATCCTGAACAGTAGCTGGTTTCGGGAAGGGCCTTGAGATGAAACCCCGGACTACGCCACAACTCTGCAAATCCTTGAATCTGCTGCCTGGCAGGCGCCACAAACCCAGAGAGCCGTGAAGGTCGGCTGGGACCTCTCTCTTGCAACTTGCAAGTGTTTCTGAGGAAGGCTTTTGAGGGGCAGAGGCGCTTCTGCGGCTTTCCGGTAAGGCTTGTGCTTCAAGCTGTCTCTTGAGAGGTTGGACGCTGAGGGGAACTAGAAGCTTGACGTCAAACATCGAGCCCTTCAACCCCCAACCCGTCTGACAAATCTGAGATCGGGTCTTGGTCTCCGCAGCGCTTTTGCCTCACAGCAAGCATGAACGGATCGAGGTAGGGTTTGGGATTGAGTTGGGTCGGTGGGTAAGTTGGTGAGAGCTTCCTGCACAGCTCTGTCAGGGGAAATGGCAAGCGAGACACAACCCATAAGTGCATCTGAGGTGACTGAACCGCTTCAGGCAGAGGTGTTAGAATCAGTGTCGGTCTACGTCGCCCCTTTTTTGCACACCTTGAATGCTAAGTGCATGTTCACAAGGATGCGCCTTCTGCAGCCAAAAACCCTCCCCAAAGGCATATCGGAAAAGATCAGCTCCACAGCTCAAGAGCCCTGCCTCCTAACCCTTTCTAAGGTCTGGGTCGCTAGGGCTGCCAAGTCAGGAAGGTGGGCCCCAGGCGCGCGTTGAGATCGCGAGCTGCGCTTGCAGCAGATCCTGGGAAATTGGAGATTCTGCGGGGGCATCCGCTATGGAAGCCTGCTTAACTCGCAAAAGTCTTACCGTTCTACCACAAAGCATATACACCCCCGGAAAGATACATGCGCCCGATGGAGCTACGCAAGTCGATGTGATTTCGATTTGTGACAACCATGGCGTCTCATGTCGGCCTCAAGCCACATCACGTACAAGACTCTTGACTATACCAGCGAAGACCCGAAGCAAAATGAATCGAACCAGACCGGCCCAGGTTGAAAGCTTTTGGTAAGAAACATCCAGCAACAACCGAACTCATCCTTGTTTCCATGGGGTACGAAAACATAATCGACATGTTCCTCGTACCGAGGAACTTGAGTAAGCCTGTAGAAAAAAGTGCCCCCGCAGCAAAAACATGAAGACACCTTGCTGGTTTCTGGCGTACTGCAAAATGTCAGTTGATTTCTCACTTGCAAGACAAGTTGTGTTTCTTCATGCCAATTCCCAACTGATTCCTCAAAACAGTTCAGTTCTCCTGCAAAGATCAAGCTTACCAAATTGCGTGCAATGTCGTATGTCAGATGACGCTGATGGAATGCAAGCATTTTCGACACGCATTCAACTGTGAACAATTTTACACGGACGGTGGTTCCGCAATGAAGACAAGAAAGAAACACAAGGACGAAGTCGTGTTTCTGTGCTAAGTCTCAAAGTGTTTTGGCTTGGATGCACAACTCATCTCAATTGCAAAGACAGACTTTGGTCCTTCAAGCGATGCCTCCTGATACAGCGGAAACATGTGCGTCACCTCTCCAAATTTCGTGCAGCAAAGTTTCCGCGTGAAGGAATGGCACGAAACCTTGAATGTGAGGGTGCGAAGAACCTTCTGAAAATCCTTCGCTGCATAGGTATGTTCTCGAGCTCCCTGCAGAAGCTTCGTTCGCGAATGGAGAGCGGAAACAAGGAGAACAACTTCCAGGATGAATCAAAAACGATGAAAACCGAAATCCAAGACAGCTTTGCTGCCTGCCATGTGCCAGCACACAAAATTTAAAAGCTAGCATACTCTGCACCGCACAGACTTGAAAGGATTTCTTGGACACATCAACAAAGCTTTCTTGCCGCAGATGCGATGATACGCAGTGTTTCAAATCATGTGAAACCTTCAGAAAGCAGCAGACATGTTGAGTATTTTGCGCGTGAAATTCCGGAATGTTCCCGTACATGTCCATGCGAACGTACGACGTTGGTACTGTTGTTTATTAACAACGCGCACGCCATCCTCGTAAGCTTGCTTGGAGAAAGAAGTATTCGGCATCGCGCAAAGTCGTATGCTGGATGGAATGTGAGTGCCGACAAATTCTGAAATCTTTGGCGGCGCGGCGGCGCATTCAATTCGGAACTTCCTTACCTGGATGGTGCTTTCTTCGGCCAGGAATAAGATTGAATCAACACAAGTACAGCTATCATGTTTTCGGTCGCGCGCACGCACGGCAGAACTGTTCCGTGCAACGCAGCCAACGTCTGCTGCTCGCTGAGGTTTGCACATGGCCTTTGCGCGAGGTTTGAATGTCTCTTGGCTTGGAGGGGCACCGCACAATCACACACCACGTGCGTCGTTTTAACGAGAGAAAAGACTGAATTGCTCACTTGGTTCATTTTTGCTTGCGAAGAATTTTTTATCGCATGCCACAGGGCAGCAGTGGGAGAAGCTCAGCCCCGCCGAGCCGGTACAGGGAGTCAGGGAGCCCACAGCCGAACCGTTCCTGTTTGGGGAAAACACGAAACTCTAAGGCAACAGAACCACGTGCTACACCTGACAACCCACGATAGAAGACACACGGGAATCTTCCACGCCACAACATCGAAGCCTTGCTATCTTAGACATCCCTAAGCCCGAAACCCGGTACAAAACGATGACTCAAGGCAGACAAAACACCGAGTCCCGAAGCCCTGAACCCTGAACCTCAAGCGACACAAAACGTCAACCAAGAGGGTCCCCCCGACCGATCAGCCAGGCCCAGCAGCAGGTCCTACTTCAAGTGGGGTGAGGTTGGGGCTTCGGGTTCTCCAATGTTCTGGGGTCTAGGGTTTCGGGTCTTGACGGTTTAGAGTTGCGGGTATTACATTGCGGCAGGAAGTCGGGCCTTTGAGGGTTCACACACAGAGCCAGGCCGGGCTCCAGTGATTCACCGCGGTTCAAGGAGGGTTCTGAGAGTTCTGAGGTTCCTGTTTCAAATCTGCTTGTGAGAACAAGTCCTGAGGAGCTGTTAGAAAGTCCAACTTCAAAACCTCCAAGCAGCAGGACCATTTGAACCTGTGAACTATCACCGAAGTGTGCCTTGGCTTTGGCGATCGCCTGAAACCGTTTAGTCGCCTCAGCACACGTTTACAGCTGTGGTTACAAGGCCCTTAGCTCAGGGTTTGGGACAGCGATGGCAGGATTGAGGGTCTTGTAGCTAAGCATTCTGACCTCAGCCGGGTCATATTCGCTAGAAGCCTCTGGGCACGGGAGCCTTGCAACTAAAACCCCCCAGAGTGCACATGACAAGGCAAGTAACAAGGTAAATGACAAGGCAAATGACAAGGCCGCATCCTGCTGGCTGCACAGCCAAGCAGACGCTCGACAGGCAAGGTTCTTCACAACTTCACAGGATCCTCTGAAGCGCAGTGACGATTGCAACACGGTGACTTTCGTTCCATACGTATTCTAGGGCTGCATTTCGAATTTGAGCTCCCTTCGTGAGTCCTGCCCGTAGAGGACTCTATTGCAAGAGACCAGCTTGGTGCATGTCGCTGTTGAGGGTTCAGGGCTCAGACTTTGAAAACATGCCAAGTTGACAGCTACACCCTCCCAGAGTCTTGCGAGGGTTGGAACCTCCTCCTCATTCTGCCCGGCATTCTTGTCGGGGTGGAAGACCAAAGCCAGCCGCCTCCGCCGAACCAATCGGACCCCACCTTAACCGCAATCTCAGCCTCAGACCTCTCAGACCGCTAACACGCCCTTGCTACCAACTCCTGAAACACGCACAAGCCGAAAGAGACAACCCTTGGCATCAAACCATCTGACGCATGGAGATGCATGTCGAATGTCAGGTTTAAGGTTGGAGAAGTCTTGGCTTCGGCTTCGCCTGTACGCTCGTTTCACATCCTCCTTGGTGAAGCCTGGCACAGCAACAAAGGCAAAAGCCAGACAGACACGGCACCTGTCACTGGGCAACAGTTGCAAATGTTTCTTCCGCAGCTATCTCAGCACAAACACCACAGTAGCTCACCTGACACTGCTCCCAAAGCAAAACATCTTTCATCCGGCCCTGGCAACTCTGACTGTGGCACTGAAGCATCATGCATCCATGTGCACTTACACTCGACACTCCACGAGCAGCCTTGGTTCAGGCCTAGGACGAAACGGGCAGCTGCCTGTCCAGGGATGCGGCAAAGATCCACAGACGTGAGTAGAAACTGAGACAAAACAACATTTTCCAGCCACCTTACAACAGATGCATTTTGGCGGACATCGCTACACTCCAAACCCGCACGCCAAATCTCTTGCTTAGAGTTTGGCTGCCGCTTTGGATCCCGAACCCCCAGAACTCAAGCCCCAAACCCAAAGGCTACTCTTGGAATCTATTGTGCCTATACTAGGGTCAGATGTGGCGGCAAACACTTTACGGACTTGAGGGAAGTCTTCACGAGTTCAGTTCCAGAGAACTTAGCTTTAAATGGGCTCAAGTGCTAAGGCTTGTCCTGCCTCTGCACTCAGCTTGCTGTCGGCCCCCATACCTCTGACACTTTGCCACAACACGACCGAAACGCCACGAAGCACCGCTCAAGCTTGAAGCTCGAATTCATGCAACCTGCACCTGTTAAGTATGGATGTGACAGTCCCTCAAACCTCATGCCTTCACCCTCGACTCTGCAGAAGCTTTTAGGACATGGAGAACTGGCCAGCGCTGAGAGCTGGGCGTCGCTACACTGCTAGAAGAACTCGGTCATGCCGCTGCCTGCTTGATGCCCCTTGCCCCTGGATCAGGCCCCACCCGCATCCCAAAAAACCTTCCAAAAGCCAGATCTCAGAGAATCTCCTGGAATCTTTGAGGATCCTCGCCTCTGTGCAACTTGGGCCCTGCTTTGTGCCCATCAGTTCTAAGCGGCTTGAGCCTAAGCATTGCAGCACTTGCCTGTTGAAAAAGAAACTACGGTTTCGGTCAAGATGCGTCAATGCCGAGCAGTCGGGGGGGCTGTCTACCTGTGGCTCATGTTACGAGGTTGCTCGTCAAACTTTGCACTTCTCTCTATTTCTCTCTCTATCTCTTTCTTGCAAGGGTGCGGTCGTGTTGTGGCAGGCTGCTGGACTTGCATGATCTGGAAGCTGCAGAATCAGGACCAACTTAAAGTTCCGCTGCAATGTGTCAACATTGCAAGCTGAAGATGGCTGCATGCCTTGCGTGCGCTCAACTTTTCCGTGCACGCTCCTGAAACATGTGCAATCGAATTGCATCCGAGGAGGTGGTTTCGTGTCAGGATAATCTGCTAGTTTAAGCACCAACTCATGCATAAAGAGTGGGCTGCTTGTTTGGCTAGTGGCTAGCTGCACTGAACGCATTTCTTGGTCCCTCAGCGTCAGAGGCCCAGAAGAAGCTTGCCCTTAGAACTCGAGGAAGCACACTGCGGATGCTCTGCAGATCCCGAGCCTGAGCCCCTGGCCTTCTGCAGAAATTGAAAGACAGCGGTGGCAACTTCCGCTTTGTCAGGGTTTTTGTCTGGATGCCAGGATCGAAGAAGCGACCTCCACTCCTGAACAAGATCACCTCTCGACAAAAATGGTAGCATTCGGTTGAAAACCGGCCTTCATGCGTTGCTCTTTTGGCTCGACTTTTTTGAGGTTCTCCAACTGCTGCAAAACCTGTCAAGTCGAGGGTTCAGCAGCAGGCATGACAGCCAAGTTGCAACTCCTTACTCCAGCTGCAAGACTGCTTCTCTTCCATTCCATGCAACACGCAGCATAATCGAACCCGGTATGGAACTGACATCCAGAGACCAAGCGCCTCCCTCTTCGCATTTTCGATGTCTTGTTGCACCTCCGAGCTTGGCGCCTGCACCAGCACTTCTTAGTCAGAAGGTTGTAGAGGACATATGAGGACATGAGCCCTCTCCATCTGTTCCTCTTTGGACTTGTCTTCGCCGGGGCTGCTTGAGGACACGCTCAGCCTGCCCGAACAACTGCACTCACGCCAGCCGGTCCAGCTGTCTGGCCGTCCTCTTCTTCGAGCTGCTTCGAGATCTCTTTCTCGAGCGACTACGACTTTTTCTGCCTGACATCGCAACTGGAAGCAATCTGTCTGACTCAGGCCAATGTCTGCTACATCTTGCTCAGTGCCACGCCTTTTTTCTTTTTCTTATCCTTCTTTTTTCTTTTTCGTTTCGCACTGGAACTGCTGCTGCTTTCCTGCTCAGCACTCGCCGATGAACCTGGCTGGGGCTGGATCTACCATGCGAAGTTTTGAACGTCCCTCTGCCCATTCACGTGTCAGCAACCCTTGCTGGCATTCGACGTGCAGCTTACGCGATCCCGAAACCGGCAAACAGGAGCAGAAGTCTGAAATAAAGCTCCAGCACGAAATTTTAAATCAACCCAAAAGCACGGCAAATTGAGTCATGTATCCGAACCCTGCTTCTTATGAAGACGAGGGAGACCTCTACCATACCGTGCTCTCTTTCAAACATGCTTGGGGAAAGCTCAGAGAGTGGTGCGATTGCTCAACTAGTCTGCTTGTGATGGGGAGTGCATCGGTCTGCTTTAAGCGTGGCGGGGATACTTGATTCGGCTTGATTCGCTTCTGCAGCCTGCGGCGGTCTGCCAGCAATTGCCCTGGAACCTGGGCCAGGCCAGAGCATCAATTTTGAGGTGCGAAAACATTCAGAAAGCTTAAAGAGCAGATCCTGAATTCCCAAGCTCCCGGCCTGCATGAGGTGAGAGCCGCTTCGCCCTTAAAGTGAGGAATGTGAGGACTTCCGGGACAGGGACACAACAAAATCAAGGGCTGAGAAAAGCACGGTGCTGCCACAGGCGGCCGAAGCATCGGCGCCCAGCCCATGCCGCCGATACCCATTCCGCCCATTCCCATTCCTGCAAGAACTTGCCGTCCCTTCCCCACAAACCTCATGGTAGAATAAGTTCATGAAGCACGTGGGTCCGAAGAACGGTGTTAGTGGCTAAACACCCCAAGCAATGCCCCAGTGTTCCATGATTCGTCCATGATCCATGGCAATTCCATGCCTCTCCTGGCACTTGCGGAGTGGGTGGAGTGAAAGGCAGTGGCGCTGGCGAGAAAATGCCTTTGGCCGCGCCACAACCTTTGCCACTCCAGCTGCTCATCGGCGCTGCAGCGCCAGCGGCGCCAGCGCCAGGTTGCATGCTAGCCACGCTAGCCATGCTAGAGTATGCCGCTTGTCCTGGCTCTGGCGTGTAACCTGACCAGGCCAATATCGAACACGCTGCCATTCAGTTGCGATTAGCGATTCAGTTCTGGAATGCCTTTTGCACCCGCCTCTGTTGTAGGCCATTGGCGCAATCTGCCCATCAAGCGGTCGCAAACACGTTGCCTTGCAGTGGTGCACCCCTCGTGTGACCCCGAACCGCTGTAAATCGTGCCGTAGGTTTGCCCAGCCACCTGCGGTTTCCCATGAAGACCTCGCTGCAGCACAAACTGCACGACAGTTCCAGCGATGTTCGCCGTCCTGCACATCGTCGATTCCACAACAATCTTTCCGTTCGACCCTGCCACGTGCCCTTGCCTCAAACCGTCTTGCAAGCTTTCGCGTGCGAAGTACACATCATGATCTACATCGTTGCCTGGCATGCCCAGACACAACAGCAATCTCGAACCATGTTACGAAATGTCTGCCTGAGATGCGCGCAAAGAATGAAACCAAAACCCTTCGCACTGTAACTCTTCACGGTGCCCGTGAGCACAGTACCTGCGACGAAGCATCCAACCACTCATGTCATTCATTCATCCTGGCTGAGTTTGGGGCACCAAGTGCCGGCGGTCGCTGGGACCCAGAAGACCTGAATTTTGGTACAATCGTGGGCATTCACTGAGCAATCAGTGTTGGCATGTGATAATCCAAAGAATCTGAAGGCGCCACCCACCAAAAGACGGCGCCGATCCGCCCGGGCCCGGGAAGGCCGGGCCCCCCCCATACGCAAACATCACATGAGCGACTTCAGAACTAACACAGCTGCATAATGCTGCCGCACTCGTCAGAAACACTCACAAGCAAATGTTCATGACCAAAATATCAGCATCAAAATCCTCGACATTCGTGTATTCACAATCGGTTGTTTGCTTACATCGGATAAGGTGCCGAAAAGGAAAACGGTTTTTAACGCTCATGTTTTATGGTCATGGGTCGGGCACGAGGGTCTCAAAGCAGAGGTTGCTGGTTTATGTTTTTGATACATTTCTTCAGTACATATACATATATATATATATATACATATATGGTCTCGGGCTGCCACCCCTCCCCCCCCATCCTCCCTCAGATCCCTACCCCACGCCCCCCCACGCCCCCCCCCTCCGAGGTGTGGGTGCGGTTCAAGATTCAGGATTAACGGTGAAGGTTTAGGGCCTATTTTGGGTGGGGGGGGAACAATGGGTGGGTGCGTGTTTGTCAGCTTTAGGTTTTCAAGAATCCCAGGGTTGGGGTTCAGGTTTTCAGGAATTTCAGGGTTGGGGTTTGGCTTTGAAGGTTAGGCATCAACGAGTCTCCAGACAAGCCTGAAAGGGCCTGAAACAAGGACTTATGCCTTACACGCGGCCACGCCATCCCTTGTGGTTGGCAGGCCAAACAAAGGGTTACGAAGGTCAGGCATATACATATATATATATGTCTGTCTGTACGTATGTAAATGTATGTATATTGTATATGTGTGCGTACCTACGTACATACATACATACCTACATACATGCCCGTATAGTACTGTCAAGAACGAGCTGCCTGCTTTCCCGCGCAGTCGTATGCGCCTTGCCCTTTCATTATTTTAAGCACAAACCCCACAAGGGGAGGGGGAGGGAGGAAAAAAAAACTTAAAGAAAATGGGAAGGGAGCGATGGCAGTGCAAGGATGGTTTCACCTCCTTATGTTGGGGCAACGTCCCTAGTTGGACCTGGATTGCCAAACAGACACAAAAACAGCACAGAAGTTCCCAGCTGGAGCGGCGCCTTGGCATTGGCTGCTTGTTTGCACGGGGAAGGGTCTCCCAATTTTGCCCCCCCCTACCCTCCTAACCACTCCCCTAAAGCCTCTTGTGAAAACTGGCCGTTTTCCCGTCTGAGCCTTGGCTCCAAAAAGGGGCCCCTGCGGTGAGTCGGTGCTGTCAAAACTGGTCGGCAAACAGACTCTGACTGTACATGAGTACTGTAGCTTTTACCTAACAGGCTTCGTACGCGCTGGTCTACGAGGACTATTTCACACCCGTGACTCTTCTGGCGTAGAAGCCTGGCCTGTACAAGGTCCAAACGAAGAGTGGATCTAATCCATCACTTCCAGCCCGTCCGCAGGGTCTGCAGTCTTCCTTCTCTGAAGCTGCTTAGCCCTTTTCTTGATCACGGACTCAATCGGCTGCTCGACTTTCAAACAGTTAGTGAACAAACACTCAACTAACTTGGTGCTCTCCATGACTTTTGTCAGTGGATCTGCTACCATGACGTCTGTGTCGATCCAGCGAACTTCGTCCGTTGGCTCTTCTGGACGGTCGTCCTGATAATAAGGATCGCCGTATTGTTCTCCCTTTGCTCTCCATAGGGATTCTCGCATTGAGGCGATCTCGATAGAGAGTCGCTTATCCTCATGCTTGCTCATCTTAGGGTTTCGGAGCGTGTCACTTAGACTACGACAATCCGTAAACCACACCTGCCTCATAAACGCCGCAGAAGATGCTTCCCACTTCTTGCGGTCAAGTTTGCCGAAAAGATCTGCGACGGCAGCTCGCAGTCTATCACCTTCTTCAACTCCTGCCTGCAGGGTATAGGCTTCGGCTTGCAGCGTGGATCTACAGACCCTACGCACTTTCCTTGAGGCGTAACTGATGAGGTGCATATGCCCTTCATCTGATGAGATCAAACTGGGGGTTCCAAGGGCATTCAACCTAGCTCCTTGGCTTCGGTAAGGTTCCACAGAATCCTCACCTTTGACCTTCATCACCTGACTCTCATTTGCATGGCTGGCGTCAGTGATGACACACGAAATAAGGTTGTCCCAATCCAGAACGTTTGCTCTGAAAGTCAAACCTCTATTCGGCGTCGCTAACGCATAGTCGACGGCTTTGTTCGCCTCTCGAAGGTCTGCTACAATTCCTCCTGCGCTAGCGGACTGCATTCGACTTACTCGTCGATATGCTAAGTCCGGACGACATTGCCTCGCCACCCAAGACAGACTTCCTGCTACGCTTTTTAGCTGTAGCTTGTCTTTATCAGTCAAGGGCTCACCGGGTTTTCGTTTAGGGGCAATAAAAATCCTCCTAACTTTCAATGTCGTTTCTTTGCAGGTGACAGTGATAGTGTAATCATCTGCCTGGGAAACTTCCTTCCCGCAGTAACGGAAAGTTTTTCGCTCTACTTTTCCGCACGAAAACTCCTTCAGCAATTCCTCGATGACAGGCTCTGCTTCTGGCTCGGCTGCCCACAGCAGGTCATCTACGTGTGTGCAAAGTAGCGCAATAATACGTCCCTCGTTGTTGCGGAGAACATAAAGTGCTTTGAAAATGGCGTTTTCCAGAAAACCTCTTTTCTGCGCACTGGTCTTGAGACGTTTCCAAAACTTACGTCCTCCGTCATGAGTCCCGTACACGGGTACCCTTGCCAGAAACCTTCGCTCTGGGGGCTCCCCTGGGAGTCCTCCCTTTGGCTGTTTGAGGATTAGTACTCTGTCTAATTCCTCTCCTTGAAAATAGGCATTTGTGATGTCGGCTGAGCCTATTCTCACCTTCCGCGAAGCGGCGAAGCTGAATATCAAATTCTGAGCTTCTATATCTGCCGTCGGAGAATCCGATCGGATATCCCCAGACTCCAAATCTCCTCTGGTGACGAGTCGACTTTTATGCCGTACTTCAATATCTGGTTGCGTGCCTCTAAGTGCATCGTTCTTATCTGTGTCAACCCACTTGAGCGGTACTTCCTCATGGCCTTCATCTTTAAGCTTCTGGTACTGCTCTTCATCGAGATCAAGTGCAGCGTTAAACTCTTTCCACTTGTCCCATTCGACCTTACGGGATCCGTCGATTCCCTTTTGCAACTCTGGTGAACACTTTTCGTATGTGAACACCTTGTTCTGCGCAGCTTTCTTCTTGTTAGAATAGCTGCTCCTTTTCTTCAACCACTTTCGGGCGCTTTCTGAGTCTATTCGATCGGCCACAAAAGCTCTATACTTGTTGCACTCTTTCGATCCATACGTGGGAATCTTAAACTGTGCCAATAAAGCATCAGCTGTGTCCTCTTCTTCGGGAACCGGAATGTCCGCCGCGTCAAGTTGCGGATCATTCTCTGCTACGGCTTCCACCGTAGGCTCATCCATCTGTTGAGCGTCTTCTACTTCGGGTTCTTCTATCGTGGGCTCTACACGGGGCTCTGCCCGTGACTCTTCAGGAGTAAATCCCACTCTCCTTCTCACTGTCCTCAATCCTTCCAAAGGATTTGAGCGTATGGCAGAAGACGGACGTGCAGAGTCACTGTCCTCTTCATCGTCTGCATCACTGTCGTGCGCTCGCGCATCGACAAATCGCTGCTGCTCTCTCTCAGATTCTAGGTGTTCGTACTGTAAGTTGCCTTTACTCAAAATCTGATAAGCTAGAACTTCCGCCGAAGTACACGGTCGGAGTTTGCCTAAACTAGTTGCTACGGGCACGCCTCTGTGCGTTACCCAGACGGTCTTCCCATCAAAACCAATGATGCGAGAAACTCCACTCCAGCTAGGCACACCGCTCGAGTCTCTTTCGATTCGGTAGCACACCAAGTCTCCTGCGGAGTACTTGCCTGGTAGTGGTCCCGACTTGCGCAGCACGGCGGCTCTAGCTCGCCTTGAAGTATCTGCCTGTACGTACGCTCTTCTCGCAGTGTGGCGGTACTCTATGCTGCGTCCAAATGCTGTGGAGGGGTCCATCGCTCCACTGAGTACTCCTAGCTGACCTAGTTCATCCTCATCCAAGAGATGTCCTATGCCTCTAGGTTGCCTTCCAAGTACCCATTGCGACGGGGAAAATCCTCCATGTCTCACAAATTCATTCTTGGCAACTTGACATTCTGTCATAGCTGCTTTCACCTGTTCTTTACCTTGCAGGTGGTGCTGTCTGCACACTCTTCGGTAGGCTCTTTTAATGATACCTCCGTGCCTTTCACATCTTCCGATGTGTTCTGGACTTTCAAGACCGGCTTGCCTCAACACAACGCCATGTTGCGAAAGTCCGGTTGCAAATGCGCCGCGATTGTGCAATCCCCGATCTGTTGAAACAGATTCGGGCCATCCAGCCCACTGTACCCAGTGTCTCTGGAACTTTTTCAAACACTGCGCGCTGGTAGGTTGTCCTTCTCCTACCCTGACCAACGCAACAACTTGGTAACAAGTACCTACACATATCATGTTAAGAAACTGGTATTTGGTTCTGTCCGAATCCTGAACCTCAAACACATCAATTGAAACTTCCTTGTTAAAAACATAGGAAGGTGGTGCGGAAACAGGGTGAGTCTTCGGGATCTCTTGTGAAACAGCACATGTAGGGCACCTGAATGCTTTCGCCGCCCTAATCATATCGTCCGAAGCTCCTGAACCTCTCAAAACCTGTAACAAAACTTCCTTTGGCTTGTGTGACATCATGTTGTGAAGTCGCCTAATTGCGATCCTCACCTTCCTAGGAACCTTAGCCCACTCCCTACGCCTTTCGGCCTCATCCTTAGGGAAACCGGCGAGGGGTAAGGTATCCAACAAGTCATCTTCATGATCTTGCATCGGGTCGACAAAGTTGAGGTCCAAACCTTCAACATCCTCCCCTAAAGGAACAGTGTCAAGAGTACCCAACTCCATATGATCTTCAATCAAAGCTTCAACAGGGAACGCAACATGAAGATCGTGGTCATGAAGAGTCTCTTCCAAAACATCAACAATCAACCGACTGAAACCTTCGTGAGTGTGTATCGTGTCAATGCTTATCGGGGCATAGTAGCGACTATGATCCTGACTAGCCCACACAGAAAGAGTCTCCCCCAAGCCTTGGTTACTAGTGCCTATACAAAGGTCACCTCTAGCGTAGTAAAGTTCAAAACTTTTACTGTCGTCCCTTTCCAAACCTTCCAAATCTTTCCACCTAACTGAACCCACTTCGTCTAAAACGCAAACGCACATTTCACTCTGCGAGAGCAAGTCCTGTAGCCACTCCGAGGCGGTCTCTGAGAGCTGCTTGGTGCAGTCTCCCGGAAACAGAACTAAGAGTAGGTCTGGCTGAAACGATTGGATCTGTTGGGACACTTTATGCCTCCAACTCGCAGTCTCATACCCGGCCAGATCTGGTCCGGGGTCTGCTGCTTTCATTTCGGCCTCCTCAAAAGGTCCGAACCATTGTCCAAGAAGGAATACCTTTCTTGGTTCTTCAGGGGTCGTAAACGATCCCCTCAACTCCTTCCATAGCAGCGAATCTCGCTTGCTCATTTGTCGAGAGCCTTTCTCAAAGGTCTCTCTTTCCTTTGTGCCCATTACAGGCGCTCCAGGGTATATCGATGGCGTGGAGTAGTAGGCAGAGCAAAACTGCGAACCATCGTATACCTCACTTTCGTCAAATAGTCAGCTGTGGTTCATTCTCTGGGCGCACAAAACAATTGCTACCCTGTACGTTTTCTCGCTGAACTCCTGAACGTGAGTTGGCCACTCCCATCGCTCTGCCCAAGACCAGTCGCCTCCTTCCTCGCGCTGAACGAACGTGTTCTTGTACCAGTTCTTCAGCTCGGGCGCGACCTTCGTGGCAGTGTTGTAAGTGCCCGTTTTAAGGGTCACTCTCACAGGCCCATTCTTTTCCTTCGGGTCCTGTACCCACAGCATTAGCACCGGCTTCTTCGAAGTCCGAGGGTCTCCTTGCCACATCTGGTCAAGGTAAGCTGAGGTGATCTCGCTTGGTAAGTTCGGATCAATCCCCATACCCAGCAGGTCTGACCTCGCACGCTCGTGGTCCTGGTCGTTCCTCACACGACGCTGCTGGCTTTCGCGAGACTCTCGCGCGTCCCTACGCTCCTGATACTCCCTGGCTTCCTCCTCGCGGCTCTTGCGTGGCGTGTTCCGGACGTCTCGACGATCGTCCCAATGCCACTTCTTCCTAACTGGGGTTGCGCTTCGCCCATACCCCCGAGCGCTCCTGGATCGGGGATTATCCCTCGATCCTGCGGCAGCTGAGCCTAGACTGCGGCCCCGCATGCTGTCTCGCACGTCTCTGGTGCCGAAGTCAGGCGTCGCCTCGTCGAGCTCATCAACCATTTCGGTGGCTGCCCTAAGAGACTTCTCGAGGTACTCTGCGTTGAAACCCTCGATGTCCAGTCTACGCAAACGTAAGACTGCTTCGAGGATCTGGCGAGCTTGCTTCTCGTCCAGATACTTGCGGGCGACCGCACCCATAGCCAACACCAAGCTGTCCGAATACTTGCGGATCAGCGTATCCGGCTTTGTTAGGGCGTCCGGTTGAAAAACCTGGACGATCCTGTGGATGAAAATGTACGCGATGCGCTCCAAGTCCCGGTGGTCTTCCTCAATCAAGTCGGAGAAGTCGTGATAGTGTTCTGGGACGCCACTGGTTCCCAACAAGTCGTCATCGGAGCTCGTTAACGAGTCTCCGGCCTCCGCCTTGCGGGCTCCTTTCTTCGCGCTCGCGTTTGCTGCATGCGCCTTCTTCTTGTCCTTCTCGGTGTCCTTGACATCCGTAGAGGTCGAAGCCTTTCCTTTTCTCTCCGGCGTGCCTCCGTCCTTCGGCATCGCCTTTGGCGTGGCCCCCGTGCCGGGAGTCAGTTGCTGATCTCCCTGCTTCGAGGCGGACGAAGAAGGTGTAGAGGCATCACCTCTCCCGTCCTTTCGCACCCAAGTTCCTGCTGGTGTGCGACTTCTTCCCTTCACTGGCGTTCTTGAGGGGTCGAAGAAACCCTTCCATTGCTTGACGACGTAGGCCTCCATCTCCTCAAGGATTTCTTTGTCGTCACTCTCGACATGTCTGCATCTTGTGCAGCCTTGGCATGTTTTATGCCAATTGACTGTTCTCGACACGTCCAGATATCCAGCACAGATGCCATAGACATTCTCTAGTACGACTTGCACAAGGTGTCTCAGGGCTACACTCCTGTGCTTTCCCCCAGTGCACAAGAAAAGGATGATGATCTTGTCACCATCTTTCGATCGTCGGATAATCCGATCGATCTGCTTTGCAATTTCTTCCCAAAGGGATAGAAAAGTCTTGCTGTAGACGGTGTGGTGCAGGTTCTCCGGGTACGTCCCGATATGATCCCGGTAATTCTTCGGGTCTGGGATGTCCCTTACATCCAAGATCACAAGGTGATCGTCCGATTTCACTTCCTCTGTGATAATCGGGTAGTTCTTCCTCAAACTTCTCTTCACCAATTCAAGATTCTTCGGAAGTGCGACCGAAAATCGGTTCGCGTGGATTCTGTCCACTGCGTCGGTGAGTTCCTTACTCACTTTGGAACTTTCCGCGCCTACGTCTAGCGTCCACACTCCTGCCGACATCAAAACGATGTTCGGCTTTGTATCGGCTATCATGTAGGCTCTCTGAACCGGTGAGGCGCTCCTCAAGGCCATAACGGTCCTTGAAGGTGACTGGTGTCCGACCTTTGGCAGGTTCGGATACTCTTCCAGTCTGAACTCCTGATGTCCTTCGGCCAAGTCCTTCTCGAACTGGTCGATTCGGATCATCAGTAGTCCGGTTCGGCTGTTCTTGAACAACCTCAAGCTTTGGCCTGGGTAGTCGGCTAGTTGAACTAGTCCGGCTCTCACGTCCTTCCTTAGGCCTAGCTTCTGCTGCACTTGCAACGAGAGAAGGAGCGGAAAGTCTTGCCCCCCAATCTCATTGCTTGCCACGCTGCCATTCCAAGACAGCTGAGATGGCTCCATCGCCAGAGCGATTGGAAACACCAATCTCTGCGTGGCCTCTGCACCTCCGATTCCACGGTAGGTGCCCACGGTAAGTGGTGCAGCTTTCGCTCGGAAGCCAAGCTTCTCGAGCTTCTTTTCTGCGTCTATACGCCATTTCTCCCCGTGACAGGTGGAGTTGCAACCTTCATCGAGCATGGCGTAGACATGGTCGTCCCTAAGGGGATCGACCTCCTCGAGCTGCTCCAACACAGGCTCGGGCGTTTCCACCGCCATAAAGGCGTGCGGTGGATATCCTGGAGGATTGCCCCTCTCAGGAAGCTGAGGCGCTGTCGGCCTCTGCGGGGTCCTAGGCGGCGTCCTAGGGGCCAAAACGGCTGCGGCGGCAGAGGCGTGAGCGGGAGTTCCTGGAGGACTTCTTCCTACGGGGTTTAGGGCCTGAGCTTGGAGATCCCTCCTAACGAAACCTGAGCTACTACTAGCCGTCCCTAAAACTCGCTGAGTGGCTTGGCTTGCTACTACAAAATCAACAGAGTCACTCAACATGCTCAGAAGTTCCTGCGAGGAAGTGCTCTCTACTCTCGTGAGGTATCTATTCATGTTCTTCACAAAATGCTTGATTACCTCGCCTGCCTCCATCTGCGTAAGAGGTGTGTCCTGAAGCGTACGACGGGTGAGGTCCTGAGCCTTCAGGGGTGCCTGTTGCGCGGCTCTCCCTAGCTCAACCTGTTGCTTGTGGAGCGCCTGCGGCATCTCCTCAACAAAAGTACAACAGTCCAAACACCAGACCTTGTGCACGGCCTTGGTGGAACCTCTGTTGTCCGTGCGGCTGTGAGGACAAGTCGTCGCATCCCTCGTGGGCTGCGCTTGTGGCCGTGGCTCTGACCATCGGTGGCCACAAATCATGCAAGTGGTCTTGATGACCTTGTCATTTGACCCTGCCTTACTAATGGCATGAGCCGGGCATCCGCCTTGGCACGGTCCACGAGGATCCGGCTTCAGATTGGCGAGCTTTGACTTGTTCACCTTTCCACCGATGCCTTGTGACAGCATCCAGGCCTTAACAGACTCGAGGTCTCGCGCCTCATAACCTGAAAGAGGGTATTCCCTTCTCTCGGCCTTTCCACGTGGGAACACGTAGTACATGTTACACCACACAAGGAACTCCTCCAGCGTTCGGCTGGGGTTCTTTTCCTTGATGCCCCACGTGAAATAGTCAGGGTGTCTCAAAACGACATCCCCGAAGGTGGAACCTCGGTGAACTCCGAACCCAAAAACGGTGTCCGAACCCTCAGGCGGCGCTTCTAGCAACTCAAACGACCCATCTGCTTCTTCGAGCTCTTCTTCTTCCTCCGCAAAGTCTCCGGGGTTGAAGAAGCCCGGGTAACCCTCGGGATGCTCGTGGTCGTCATCCAGCGCCAGAAACATTTGAGGCTTATGCAGTACCTCTAACCCTTCGCTCTCCGAAGATGAGCAACAAAACGAGGTCTGCACGGACGCGTCTTTTGTCAAGATCGCGGAGAAATGCGCAGTTCTATCCTTGGTGCCTTGCGTGCTGCTGCCTCCTGAAGATGGCTTGCCTTTGCAATCTCGGTCACCAGCCCAATGCCCTTTCTTCCCGCACGTGCGACAAACGCTACGTGCCTTGATCTCCTTGAGCTTCGCTTTGCGGTCTTCAATACTCAAACCGCTGGGCTTGGGCCTGTAGCCGTGGGCATGCTTTCCCATCGGCTTTCCTTTGCCTTTCGCTTTGGAGCGAGCAAAGAAAGCACAAACCTCAGCCTGACAAGCTGAAGCAAGGAAAGCAATACACTCATCATCATCCAGACTAAAGTCTGGTGTTGAAAGGAATGCTTCCACAACATCCAGCTCTATCTTCTCGGCTGTTGCCTCTCCAAGGGAATCAGCCATGAAGGCTGAACTGTCCTGGTCATCAGGTACCAGCTCTTCTTCCTCTGCCTCGGGATCCCAAAAGGATTCCCCGGCGTCGTAGGAGTCGAAGAGGTCCTCAGGCTCTGCCAGATAGGCTGCCCCATGGTGATTCTGAGCATTCGCCTTTCCTTTGCCAGAACTCTTTGTTCCCTTGTAGGCCATGCCTCTGGGGCGATTGTAGTTGCTTGCACCCTTGCCCGAACTTCGGGACTCCAGAACATGCAATTTCCCATGTTGAGTAATGAGGGCTTTCTCGATCGCATCAAAAGAAGACGTTTCCCCGACAGCTGTAAGTACCATTAGTCGCTCTTTGCGATCTAATCCAGAGTTGTCGAGTAAAAGATCTCCAAGGATGGTATCGGATATTTCTATCGTCTTGTCCAACTCCTTCAACTTCCTGTACCATCTCTTTCTTCGCCCGATATAGGAGGTCATCGACTCTCCCGCTTGTCTTGACATCACGCCACCAACGCTGGCCCCGACTCGGTAAAGTTCCTTTGCCTCTTGGGCCTGCAAAGGAAAAATCACCTTACGCACAGCGTCGATGATCTGCGTGATCGCATCGGCGCTCTTCAGTACATCGTGCCCCAAGTCCTGGGCAACAATGTAAGCGTCCCCTCGAAGGGACTCCAGCAATTTTGCACCAAGTGTAAACCTTTCATCCGCCTTCGTAGCGTGGTACTTCGCCATCGCCCGAAATTCCCACTCATAGTAGTCCGAAACGGATCCACTATACACCAAGAAACCTTGCTTTGTCAGCTCGGGCTCCTGGTTGCTCCGAGGATTGAAACGCAAACCTCCGCCAGTGGCCATGGCGACACACGCTGGCGGCTATCGCCTCTAGGGCGAACGAAAAAGGTGAAAAGAGCACTGGCCCCTGAAGGGCACTGGCTCCGCTACCAGTGTGAAAACTGGCCGTTTTCCCGTCTGAGCCTTGGCTCCAAAAAGGGGCCCCTGCGGTGAGTCGGTGCTGTCAAAACTGGTCGGCAAACAGACTCTGACTGTACATGAGTACTGTAGCTTTTACCTAACAGGCTTCGTACGCGCTGGTCTACGAGGACTATTTCACACCTCTACTACTTCCGAACACTTTATTAAAGGGCTCCCACAGCTTTCGGTTTTCAGGAATTTCAGGGTTGCGGTTTGGTTTTGAAGGCTGGGTTATGCCTTGAGGGGGGGAAAAAACTAACAAAAACAAGTCTGCAACCCTCCACTTGTTTTTTGCCCCCCCCCCCCTCCCAAGGAAGAGGCGTCTACTACTATGCAGTGGTGTATTAAGACATTAAATTTGTACTGTAGACTCCTGATTGCACCACTTCCCCTGCTCCAAGTATGGGAAAGCTCCCTTCTTAACTGTCCCAGCCAAAACATTTTTTGCAAGGCCCCCTGCCATTTGTTTGAAGCTGGGGGGGAGGGTGGCACGTACTTAAAAGGACTTACATTCCATCTCTAAGGAAGTTGACGTAACAAGTCCTCACAGAATTCTTGTTAGCTTGCCCCCTATCTAGATAATCTTGTGTAGTCTCGCAGACAAGAAGTCACCGAGATGGACAGATTTTGAATGTGTCGGTGTGTGTGCGATTGTTTTACATGTGTTTGAGTTTTCATATGAGAGGAGCCATTCACGTTACGAAAAAGGTTTTAGTGAAAGACTTTCCATCAATACTAGCAGGATATGAAACGATTTGATCGAATTCTTCATAAGAAGAAACATGTACAATGAGCTCCAACACAGCCTCCAAGACCGTCTAAGTGGACCAACATGGCCTCCAAAACCCTCCAGCTAGAGGCCAACACACCCTCCAAGACCCTCTAAGTGGGCCAGCATAGCCTCCAAGACCCTCTAAGCGCCTCCAAGACCCTCTAAGTGGGCCAACATATCCAAGACCTTCTAAGAAGGCCAACATAGCCTCCAACATGCGTTAAGTGGGCCAACATGGCCCCCAACACCTGCAAGACCCTCTACGTAGACCAACATGGCCTCCAAGACCCTGTAATGGGCCAGCATAGCCGCCAAGACCCTCTAAAGGGCCAACTCGCACCCTCACAACCCGTTCACCCCTTTTACACCGCCCTAACACCCCCCACAAAGCGGAAGCCAACACAGCCTCCAAGAGCCTCCAAGTCCAGCCACGCCTAGCGCCAACATAGCCTCATGGCCTCTCAATGAGCCAACATCGCCTCAAGACCCTCTAAAATCCCCAACACAGCCTTCAAGACCCTCTAAAAGGGGCGACGTCGTCACAGAGCTCTCGGACGAGACGTACTACTACCAGGTAACGCGGAACCAGGTGGAGACGGAGGTGACGCTGCGCCAGCCATTGGGGGCGCTGCGGGACGTCTCCTATCTTCAATAATAGCGAAACTAGACTGATGGAAGAGGTTTTTTTTGAGCCAAAAAATGCTCCAAAATGGCTCTTTGAGCGAGAGAGATACCTGAGCAGGCTTATAAATGGCTCTTTGAGGGATGTGAGGAGAAGGTGTTCATTGCTGAAAAAAACGCTCCAACTTGGCTCCAAAACACCACCTTCAACCTGAGCAGGCTTATGGGTTTTTTTTTCAGCCAAAAACTCCAAAATGGCTCTTTTCGGGTGGTCCCCCCCTGAAGGGAAACGCCCTCTGGAGGGAAACGCCCTCCGAATGGAAAGAACTTCTCATAGGATGACTCTTTCGTTGGGAAACGCCCCAAAGCTTTTTTCACATGCCTTGGGACAGGATCCTTTCTAAGACAGGAATATACCGGGCACAGGAAACGCCCTCTCGAAGGAAACTGCTTTTGAGAGGAAAGCTAAACTTGCGTCACCTCTCCAAAGGACAAATCAAGCAACCAACCAACCAACCAACCAACCAACCATTTCACACACACACACACACACACACACACACACACACACACACTGGAGCAAAACATGCAGTTGACCGATCTCTCAAGCGAACCACTGTAGATGTTTACGGGTGCGGCCGCCGGAGCGGGCCCTGCACCCTGCACCGTATGCCCAGGGCGGGCCGGGTGGGACAAATTTTTCGCACGGTGCAATGAGCCAGTGCTGCACTTCAAGGAACACACATAAGACAGCCACATTACCCGTAATGTTGCATCCAAATATCATGGCAGGTTGCTCACCAAGGCACATCACAACAAGTTGCCGATAGTCGCTACCACTTTGCATTCGCTGACCACGGAGACATGCAGGCCATGCGACAGGCAAGTGTTGGACATGTAAAATTCAAAGCATCAAAATAACTTTTGGCTTCAAACAGCGAACAAACGGCATTCCGTATTTTCGCAAGGCATTATTGGAAGCAAGCGATAAAACACAATTCGCTCGCGAACAGTAAGCTTATCGCTTGTGCCAAAATGGTTTGAACCCAAAAGCACAGCCTGAACAAAGGACCCTGGCAAAGCTCGCACCCTTGCAGTTCCGTGCCTCCCTTCTTTTCATCAGTGGGCGAATCAAGGATCATTATCGAAAGGTCGATGCACATTGTGTCAGTGCATACGCCTAGCAGAGGGCACACGCATCCCTAACTGCAAGACACGTCAAATCCCCCCTTTTAACCGAACGATTGTGGTGGACTCCGTCGAGAGCAAGGCAGTTTGGAGCCCAGATCCAAGACATTCGCAACCCCAAACGTTTGTTACGAGTAATTGAGGCAACCACGCTGTTCCTCCTTTAAGGCACTTATCTCGACCGACGAAGCACCAGGCCAGAGGTACGGCCTCGCAATCACCCTGGTCGAACCTCCTTACAGGTGTGGCCTTATGACCGACCCACAGCAGTGCACACAGACCGTAACCACGCGAGGTCCCAACGGATAATTGCGCGACCACCCGGCGTTGAGCACGGGGTGGGGAAACACAGCTGTGTTTCCTTCACCCATCCCCCATGTCAAGGTCGCTAGCATCGTAGCGGAGCACAACTTTTGATCATCGGGGAGATCCCCACACATTGGCGTCGAGAGGGGCAGAGTCCAGGTCATACACAAGGCTTCCGTGCCACGACACTGTTAGGAATCGGGCCAAACCATTGTTCACAAACCTCGGGCGCTCCTAACGGGCGCATTTACAGCGACACCAGCTACCACACAAGGTAACCGGAAACAGCAGCCACCACTGCTGCGCCGAAAGCAACAGCCACCACAGTTGTGCCCACAAGACCTCCAAAAACAGCAGCCGCCACAGTTGTGCAAACCAAAACCACAAAACCTCCCCAAACAGCAGCCACCACTGCTGTGCCGAAAGCAACAGCCACCACAGTTGTGCCCACAAGACCTCCAAAAACAGCAGCCGCCACAGTTGCGCAAACCAAAACCACAAAACCTCCCCACTTAACCGCGGAGAGCATCTTGGCAGCGAAGAACCAACTGACCAGCAGGGTCAGTGGGGAAAGCTGAGACAGGGGAGTCAGCGGCCAAGGGCCCACAGACAGGGCACAGGATCCAAGCGGGCCCTGTCATTGCACCACACATGGTGAGTTATTGCAGGGGCGTGCAGGACCATGTCCAAAGTCTTGTCACGACAGACAGGGTGACTGCTGGGAAGTGGGTCGTGAGCGTCAGCGGGCGAGGCTGACGTAATAGCCGCCAGACCACAGGGGCTTCTTAGGGTGAGGCTCAGGCATATGACCGTCTCGCACGCGACACGAGCCCAGCAGCTGCCACGTGTGGGAGGCCGGCACAGGCCTTGGCATATGATGTGCAAGTCACGCCCCCAGGTCCTTTCATTGGGACAGCTACGTGGCCCCAGCCACGCGCAAGGAGCCAGTCATACATCACACAGAATGCAGGAGCATAAGATGACTCGTCTGAAAGGCCAGGACCAGTGACCCAGCGTCCGTCGCGGACCTTAAAGCAAGGACTATTGGCTGGCGGCAGCCTAAGTACGTGACCACGCGAGGCGAGCCAAAGTGCATTTCCGTTCAGGTACCACACGGAGAGGAGGTGCATAGGCTCTGAGGCCAGGGCAGCATCTGACCGGCAAAGGTGTCCCGGGGGATTGGGTGCAACAAGCCCGGGGCTCATCTGAGCCATGCTGCTGCACCCCTGGGGTGCAGCAAGCCTGTGACCTTGCCTGAGCTATGCTGCACCACACACGGAACATGCCCAACACTGTGGCGTTAACAGGCGAGGGAACTGCTTACATAACTTAAGGAGTGATCATCGAAGGGGAAAGCCCTTGGTGTACTGGCCGCAAGAGGTAGGCCTAACTAAGGCAGTCGTCGAGTGGCACGTAACCACGGAATGATGGGTACCAGAGCTACACGCGCCCACTAGGGCCAGGTGGCACAACACTTCCGCACATGTACGCAAAGCCTGCAGGAGGAGCACTGGAGCAGAGCATGGGGATTCCACACAGCACAGGACAACCGAGCGAAACACGGAAGCACTGCACAAGAACCCTTTAGGGCTAATTGCAATGCCGTTGGAGCACCACTACTGGCCTCGCGGGCAACATCATTCGCGGCCACGGACGCGACCGTCCAGCGAGACCATGTATGGGTGAGCGTCTTACCAGGATTAGTTACGTCACTTGGCGGATGGCTCGTCATCCCGGAACTGGGAAGCTTGGCTGAAGGCAGGGACTAGCACTGGGTGCACCAAGGGAATGGCATCATGGCTGCAAAACAACGGTCCTCTGCTTGGTTCCACAACGGACAAACTGGCCACTGGCGCAGGAAGGTGGACCTGAGTGTGGAAGGCTTGGGCGGTGCGCCAAAACATTGCTTCCGTCACAAGGGTCTTCAGGTGGACGTTTAGCACGTTGACCAGGATGCCACGGTCGCCTCGGACACAACAGACAAGGCATGCACTACCACTTTAGACAGCATGGCACTGTTTTTCAAACCACATGGCTCTACAGGCATGAATCCACAAGGAGGCTACCAAACATCACAAGCAGTCAGTGTTTACAGAAAGTCATGCGCTCATGATCATGGCTTTGAGCCTGCATCCTTGCATAAGCATCAATAGTCCAATGGACATATCTGGCACCATGGCCATGTTGTCTGACAGCCCCTTGGCTCATACAAAGGCACCATGTGCCACTTCATGAGACCCTCATAGCCCCTTGGCTGAGCAGACATTGCTCGTCTCATGCAATTGTAACATACAATACATGTGTGAGCGCAAGCTCATGTCTTTTCTTGCTTTGCCAACCGCATCCTCATCATTAGTCCGGGTCAGCCTTGCTTTCGAGGCAACATCGCGACTTCCATCTGATATGGGTTGCAGATATTGCAAAACACATTTGCAACGCGTCCGCATCACCAGCTTGGCTCTGCCTGTGTTTCGAGGCAACATCATGACGATCATCGGATATGGGTTGCAGACAATGCAAAACACATTTGCAATGGGCACGGCTCAGGAACAAGGCCCCGTAACGTGATCGCGCGTCAAAGCGGAAAGACAACTGCGGGCATTGAAGTTATGAGCACGGAGAAACATTTGGAGCCGCTCACTAGCGGAGGGACCCACTAGCCTTGTTAGGAGGGCCCAGTAGGAAGCCATTTTACGTGGCCCCAAAAGGATCGCCTGGGGCACCGGGATGCAGCAATTGGCATCAAGGATGATGAGGGTGAAACCCTCTCCCACCAAGCTGTTGCGCACCTGCTGCAAGGAAACCTCATCATGCAAGTTGAAACCTGGTGGGACCCTGAGGCCCCACTGTTTCTGTCCAAGGTCCCGGCACTTGATGCCAGCAAGGGTGGCCTGAAGCACAACCCGACAACATTGGAGAGCCAGAGAAGTGCATGCTGCGGGAGGCAGAGCTGGGCCCTCCAACAAAGCGGTCAACGGGATCGCGCGTTCCGCAACAACATAATGCGCCTGGCACAAACCTTTCTCTCCAAGGGACACCCAAATGGAGCCGCTGTCGAAGATGCGAGCAAAGGCCGCCGGACACGCAGTAGCGCTTCGAACTTCATTGACATTGTCGGCGTCACATCCAGCGAGCTTTAACACCAGGTTGGCAGCTGGCTCCTCACCCTTCAGATGGTACACCTTCCGGAACCCACCTTTGAGCTCGGGCGCCCTGCTCGAGCCCAAAACCGACAAGTTTCGCCCATCCACATCCAGGGCGAGACGAAGGTCATCCGGGAACATGTCTTTGCCTGTCAAGAATCCTGACTCACGCAGGAGCTTTATCGAGGGCCACGCCTTTGCCTCACTGGGCGCTGGACCTTGATTGGCCTCTTGACCGGGGGCAGGAGAAATGGCGGGACCACTGCGCTGATTGGCCAAGCAATTTCCGCAAATGTCAAAGTCGCAGACCCTGCATCCCCAAAGCAAGCGCCGCGTGGCGAACTCCCTTTTGCACACGCTGCACCACCAATTTGGCTCAGGCGACCCAAAGGAAAGCAACGGATGACCTGAAGGACACGTGGGCCGGGCATCAAGTCTGGCCAGAAATGCCTCCGCATTCTCCGGAGTGAGCGTGACTCCCTCGCCAGATGTGGCTGAGTCACTTGAGCGGCTGACGTCTTCGGGCTCAAGCCTCTTCCGCTTAGGGGTTGGCGGACGAGGGGGCAGTGGCCGACCACCGGGCAGCAGGGCTTCAGATGTGCCGCACACGCTTTCCAGAACCAAGGCATCAGCTTCCCCAGCACAAGGATAAGCTGTGGCTTGCTTGGGGAAGCATTCGGTCCGCGGGGGAATGGAGCCTGGACCGGTAAAGACAGGCCGCGAGCTTATGGGGGCTACCACTTGCTGCACTCCTTGCGTTGGCACCTTCTTGGGCACATCAAGGACACCTGCTGACCCCATGAAAACCCGCCTTGGCCCTGGTCGGACCTCGTCCCTCATGGTGCCAGTGGGCACACCTTGAACGGAAGTCTCCGACACAGCTGGACTTTTGTGCGAAGAGCACTTTGAGCTGAGCCCACTGGTTTTGGACGGGTGAAGGGATGGCGCACAGCTGGTACCGGCAGGGACCTCGAGCCGCGAGGGGGTAGCCTGCTTGGCGGACGTGACATGACCACTACCAGCATTTGATACAGCAGTTTTGGCTTCAACCCCAGAATCATTGGTCTGAGGGCTGCAGGGAGCAGGAACTGGCTTGCCATGGGCAACATGACTCATACTGAAGTCCAGCTGTACCTCGGGATACGGCACACCCACAGTTTCAGCATCCGAACTACTAGGCGTAGAGCTACCCTCCTCTCGCAGGTGATCATGTTGTCTGGACACAAACCGAAGGGACGCTTCGGCCATCAAGTTCGGGTTCAACTCCATGGGGCGCCCCATCTTTCGCAGGCATCGAGCTTGAGGAAGCTTCAGAAACACCAGGACAAGTGGGTGATGTATCCCTCACAACGCCAGTATGAAACGCCGTGTGCTCAAGCTCCTCCAATGGCTCAAGGCATGAAGTCACTGCGTGGCTAGAACGGGGCACACATGGCTGGGCACGATGAGGAGCATTCAGCTCATCAGGCCTGGATGGCTGTTCGACAGGTTCAGCAAGAGAACACAATTCATCAGCCCTGACCAGACGGGCCCAGACACGCTCAGGTGCACCATGTATTGGCTCGCAAGAGTGCTCGGCTTCCCCAGACGAAACAGCTCCACCAGCTTCGGTCGTACACGCTGCATCCCTATGCTGAACGGAAGGAACAGACCCCACGCGGACAGTATCATCTAAGGATTGGCCATCAGGTTTCTCAGGCACCAAATCTTCGGCTTCACTCCCACGTAGCGCTGCACCAGACTGTGCTGTAAGGGCGGAGCCAACATTGACATGGAACCTTGCTGGACTATTAACAGGCGCACAAAGCCCAGATCCCGAGGCCGTGGATTGGCCATCAGGTTTCTCAGACCCCAAATCAACGGGATCACTTCCACGCAGCGCACCAAGAGACTGTGATGATTGGGCAATTCCCATTCTCACAGGGGCATCAGAAGCCTGGCAGCTAGGCTCACCAAGCTCAGACCTCACAGCCTCTGAGGTTTGGATGCCACGCTTACTGTCTGCCGGCTCATCTCCTTTAGTGGAATTTTCCCCCCTTTTTGACCGCTGGAGATGGCCCGGGGAGATCTTTCCTGAAGCGCTTGACCACACACACCGGGGCGACACCGGGGGGTGTTGGGGTGGCGGGGGGTGCAGTGGTTGCAGGGGTCTCAGGAGACGCCATCACCTGTCGTAGACCGCCAGGTACCAAGCAATTACACAGTGCGCGCACCAGTGGTGGTTGTGGTTGATGCGGTACCTGATACAACCGTTACGGCCGCACTGCTGACAGATTTGCTGACAGGCCGGGATGGCAGGATCCTGCTCAACAAGCGGCTCTGGCGCCGCACGGCGTCCGCACGTGGAGCCCATGGAAGGCTAGCAGAGGCTGATGGCCAACAGAAGGAAAGCCACACCCAGGCAGAAGCCGGAACAAAAACACGCGCAGGGGCGACTGGCAGGAGTTACCGGCCCAGTGGGCCCCAAACACACAGGCGATGCGATCGCCGCTTGCCCGCGGAGGCGAGCTCCCATCCACTGCCTGCTTCACGCAGGCAGCTTGCACAGGGCCTAAGGCCAAGGTTAGAAGCAGGGCCTGTTTGAAGCAGGACCTGTTAGAGCCCCAGACCCCGTTCACACACAAATTTTTCGCACGGTGCAATGAGCCAGTGCTGCACTTCAAGGAACACACATAAGACAGCCACATTACCCGTAATGTTGCATCCAAATATCATGGCAGGTTGCTCACCAAGGCACATCACAACAAGTTGCCGATAGTCGCTACCACTTTGCATTCGCTGACCACGGAGACATGCAGGCCATGCGACAGGCAAGTGTTGGACATGTAAAATTCAAAGCATCAAAATAACTTTTGGCTTCAAACAGCGAACAAACGGCATTCCGTATTTTCGCAAGGCATTATTGGAAGCAAGCGATAAAACACAATTCGCTCGCGAACAGTAAGCTCACATACTTCAAAACGGGCAGCTGGGAACATCTCTTTGTGGCTCTCTGTGCACACGGAAAAGGATGTAAGAGCCACGAAATGCGCTTGCACGGCTCCAAACACGGGCAAGTCGCTCCAAACACGTGGCCAACCTGCTCTTTGCTGAAGACAGCTTTAAATACCCTCCAGAGAGGGAGAAAGCAAAACTGGCCGCTGACAAACCTCAAGCCTGCTCTGCACAAGTGAGACACACATCCCAGTCGCATGCATCGCACCTGTAAGTGCTGCCTGTAACTGCCGCTTTGCAGACATTGCAGGTAACATGAAAGTACGCGTACTTACGTGTGAAGAATGCTGAAGCTGCCGCGGCACACTTCGAGGAGGACGAATTGGCTCGTTCCTTGGCATCTGCTGGGCATGGGCCGGTCGGTACATCTTGAGGGACGGGCTCGTCTTCCTCGTTCTCATCGGGGAGAAGGGACTCAAAATCGCTTCTGATGTCGCTGGGAGTGTCTTCCGCCGTGAAAGGATGCTCAACCTGGCAGCTGCTGAATGACTTATAGTACTGCGCCCTAAAAACAGGACTGTTGCGTTTGCGCGAACGTATAAAAAAAAGCTGCGAATTGTGAACAAAGCACTTGAACCCGCCGTGGGTGCGCATCCTGCCAGGTCTTAATCTCTCTCATGAGATTGTAGAAAGGCTCCACACCAAAGGCTGAGCATCTTTGACGCCACAAGAATTCTGCGAGAAGTTCTCCATAGGCCTTCTTCCCGACTCTGCCATATTGCCGTTGCCGCAAATATGTCTTGAGACGTCCAAAGAGCCCCTCAACCGCATTGGTGGTGACATTGATGTCCTCGCCAAACACACGCTCGACGCGAGAGAACTCACCTGCTTTGTGGTTCACAGCACGATGGACATACTGGCTGCCTGCACGCCCGAGAAATGAGTATGACTTGCGCCTGTCCGTGAAAATAAGCGAGCCTGGCAAAACATGGCGCTCAATCTCCCTCTTGAGTGTCGACATCTTGCGGTTCGGAATGGTGATGAGAACACAGGCACCTGTTGCTTTGCGGGTAGCTAAATCCAATTCCAGGAAGCCCATGACAATGGTTTTGTGGCCCGCAGTGTTCCTTCCAACGAAACCTCCCGCATTCGTTTTCTTCTTTGTGAAAAAAGTTTCGTCAATGACCACTACACGGCCAGCACCACCCAACTGCACCCGAGCGAACTGCTGCTGAATGACCAACCACAATAAAGCACGAAGAATCGTGCGGATCTTCGCCCAAGCTTTGTCCGCAAGTCCAGTCTCTTTCAGAATTTGTTTCTGAGGGGCGTCGGAGCAAAACCAATACAATTCATCTTCATCCCCACTTGTCGGAAACACATCATCCAACTTCGCAGTGCAATGCAGATGACAATAAGCACCATCATTGTTGCCACTGAACTTCCATTCATGCCTGCGACTGCACTCTCGTGGAAGAAACAAAAGCTCTGACCAGATTAGAAACCATAGAGCCTTGTTGTTGGTGGTCCAAAGCTTGGCTGCGCCTTCTTCTGAGTTCACCATGGCGTCAACACCTTTCAAAGAAGTTGTGTCAGCTGCCAGAACTTGTATAAAAAGCTGCAGAAACAATTCGAATGATCACAGAATGAAAATGCTTTGAGTTGAAGAAGATTTGCACTCTTCTTCTTCTTTACAAAACATGCACAAGTCGAAACAAGTTCCAAAATGCAAAAGACGAAAATTATGGCAAACTCCACCACATCCCTGACTCGTACCTTTGGCGCGGCCCGGAGCCGTTCTTACAGCAAGAAACTGCAAACATCCTGACACAAACTGTGAAGGCACGCAAACCAACAAAAGAACATCGCAAATCGTCTGTTCAATCAGGTGATCTTAGAACTGCTCAATTCAATCAAGCACAATCACAAGCACCAACTCTGCTGTGTAATGCAATCACTCGAGCTTTTCCGACTTGAGCCAAAAGCAATCCTCTGGTGACCAATGCATCTCTGTGTGGATACAAAGGTGATCTGACCAATCATCCTAACACTTAAGCCCCCCCCTTGAGCCCCCCCCTAAAGCCCCCCTCTTAAGTCCCCCCTTTAAGCCCCCTTTAAGCCCCCTTTAAAGCCCCTTTAAAGGGTCTTCTCCAAAGCTCCCCCCCCTTTTGCCCCCCCCCTCTTAAGCCTTAAGCCGCCCCCCCCTTAAGCCCTCTCTTCTCTTAAGCCCCCCTTTGAGCAAAGTATGGGTCCATCAAGACCTTGTGTGCATCTGTTCCCAAAACCCGTTTTGTTTTTGCAGTGTCTATTCTGCCGTCAATTCTGCTGTAGTTTTTGTTTTACTCTTCCGACTCAGTCCAGAAGACGGACCTAAAGAGTCAGTTGGAGCGCCAGATTGCTGCAAGGACTAAGCAATCACCGTTAGCCCATTCGAAGAACTCAGAGAAAACAAGAACTCACTAAAAACATTCTTCGATGTTGCACGGAAAGTGCCATGATTGGTTGAAACAAAAGCTGACTTGATGACTTGATCTGCAAGCGTCCTCGCGCTGGATCGAGAGGTGAGTTGTGACTGCAACGATTGGGACAAGTCTTGACTTGCCTTTTTCCACGTTCCGGGCCCTTTTCGGAAGTTTCGGAAACGGCTTCTGAAAGAAAACGCCTGCAGAAGGATTAATTGACTTGATTTTGGGCAGACAACAGCAGGAAACATGCATTTGGTGTCCTTTGTATGAAATGCACACCGCCCTGTCGCAAGATGCAGAGAATATTTTAAGATTTTTTCTTGAAATTCGTTCTAAAGTTGCTGTTTGGCCGGTGGTGTTTTTACCATTGGCTTGTGTGCGAAAATTGCTGCCTTTTGCTATGCTACTTTGCTTCAACTGGCTCTTTTCCATTCTGCAGTTCTGCTTCTGTGCTTTAAATTGGTGCCTTTCAAGTCTATTTCTGATTTTGTAGTTTTTTTGTGCAAAGCCTTTCAAGTCCATTCTGTTGTGTTCTAGGCACACCAATTCCGTGCGTGGACCCTGAATCTTGGAAACCTCTCTATGTTTCCTTGTACAAACCTGTAGCCCAGTCATTGATGGACTGGAAGGTACTTATGACCCCTGCATTGACCAGCACTTGGAAGATTTCGAAGCAGCAAACTGTCCGAATCAAAGGTTAGTTGATTTTAGCAGACAATTGCACTATATCCTTGCACAGATCACAGATGGTCCCGCCAGATTGGTTGTGAGATTGAACGAAGGCAATTGTACAAACGTTTTGCATTGCCTGACAGGGCCAGCAGATTGCTGGACCCTGGATAATGACTGATGGTCAACAAAACCTCAGGCGCATTGCAGCAACATTTGCGCCTCAACGTTGATGCATTGACCACCCCCCCCCCCCCGATGTTGTACAGATTGTGAAACAGTACTACCAGAGCAGGCATTTAGCCAATTGGAGGTCACCAAACTCTTCAGAGGGACCAGTTCCCATGGACATAGGTGCATTAAAAGGAAAAGAAAAAGGATTCAAAGGCTACAAAGGAAAGGGCAAAGGATTCAAAGGAAAGAGCAAAGGATACAAAGGAAAAGGCAAAGGAAAGAATTGGAAAGGCAAAGGAAAGAAAGGATTCTACAAAGGCACAGGAAAAGGAAAAGGAAAAGGAGGAAAGATTGGAAAAGGGCCCGACTCAGGAACAGGATGTTTGATTTGTGGTTCGCAGTCGCATTGGAGCAAGCATTGCCCTCAGAACCGACAGTCAGTGATTGCAGAGAGTGGAGAGCTAGGAGCGTTATAACGGAACAGGTATTGCACATGACAAGCTGAATTGCAACTGCGGGGGCACTCAAACGTGTCCTACGCTTCTTGTGTCGTTCTGGGGTCGGATTTGGCTTCACTTGAGGCACATTCTCCAAACCTCCAGCAAAGGGCCTACCTTGTCCCAAATCAACAAGTGTCGAAAATCCCCTTCCCCAATGGCAATGTTGCAACACGTTGGTCATGTCAGACCGACCTTCGGCATCCAACATTGCCATTGGGGGCTCGGGGGCACATGCAAGGGCTTGTGACCGAAGACAAGCATCCTTTTCCAGGCTCTTCAGGTTCCAAGTCCTTGCAATTTCAAGGTAACTCTCAAGGTGGGCTGCGCTGCTTACTGCGTTCTGCAGACCCTGCATGTAACACTGCAGCAACCTGCAGACCCTGCAGACCTGCAGCAAGCATGCGGAATCTGCAGCAAGCCTGCAGGCCCCGCAGCAGCCTGATGCAGCAAGCTTGCAGACCCCTGTAGCAAGCCTACAGCTGCAGGGTCTGTAGGCTGTCGGCAAGCCTGCAGACCCTGCAGCAGCCTGCAGGCCAGCAGCGCCTGCGGGCAACCTGCAGACCCTGCCGCACGCCGCCTCTACAGACCCTACAGCAACTGCAAAACCTGCTGCGTCTGCAGGAAGCTTGAAAGCCCCTGACCTGTAGAACTTGAGGGCTCTTGGGACTTTGAAAGGTTCAGGATCGCTCAAACTTCCCCTCTCTCGGGCATCTGCGGTCGTTGCTTGGACACTTGTACATATTTTGAAAAAGTCCAGTGCAACGCCCCCAAGACTTCCAACTATCCCCATTTGCTTCTGACCCTCTTACAAGCAAATTAAAAACCAAGTCTCACATGCTCGCGCTTTTTCCACGCCAGTCTAATTTCATGAAAACTTGCACTACCGTTGCAGCTCCCTTTCTGCTGCAGCATTACAAAAGCAAGCAGCTGCTTCGGACAAGCCCCTGATCCCCAAGCTTATGTTCTGCACGCTGCTCCCCAAGGCTCCTGGAACAAGGGCAGGCGCAGGCACGCTGCCAGCGGCGTGAGCCCAGGGCTCAAACTTGCGACCCCAAAAATGGGGCCGTCTCGCGGCCCCAAAAATGGGGCCACGAAATGCACCCAGCTTCCCTTATTATAATGTGTAAATACATGAAAAGGCTGGAACTGCGACCCCAAAATTGGGGCCGCCTGGCGGCCCCAATTTTGGTGTCGCTAAATCTGCATTTTTCGAGCCCCTGCGCTCCCCAGATTGCGACGCTACAGCAACTCTGACCCACAGGCAAGCTCCTAGCGTGGAGATTTTTTTTTTTAAAGAACAACGACCCCCCACAGGCAGCTTTCTTGCGGAAGTGATCAACATAATAGAAACGGGCACCGTTGCAGCTCCCTTTCTGCTGCAGCATTACAAAAGCAAGCAGCTGCTTCGGACAAGCCCCTGATCCCCAAGCTTATGTTCTGCACGCTGCTCCCCAAGGCTCCTGGAACAAGGGCAGGCGCAGGCACGCTGCCAGCGGCGTGAGCCCAGGGCTCAAACTTGCGACCCCAAAAATGGGGCCGTCTCGCGGCCCCAAAAATGGGGCCACGAAATGCACCCAGCTTCCCTTATTATAATGTGTAAATACATGAAAAGGCTGGAACTGCGACCCCAAAATTGGGGCCGCCTGGCGGCCCCAATTTTGGTGTCGCTAAATCTGCATTTTTCGAGCCCCTGCGCTCCCCAGATTGCGACGCTACAGCAACTCTGACCCACAGGCAAGCTCCTAGCGTGGAGATTTTTTTTTAAAGAACAACGACCCCCCACAGGCAGCTTTCTTGCGGAAGTGATCAACATAATAGAAACGGGCACAGTTGCAGCTCCCTTTCTGCTGCAGCATTACAAAAGCAAGCAGCTGCTTCGGACAAGCCCCTGATCCCCAAGCTTATGTTCTGCACGCTGCTCCCCAAGGCTCCTGGAACAAGGGCAGGCGCAGGCACGCTGCCAGCGGCGTGAGCCCAGGGCTCAAACTTGCGACCCCAAAAATGGGGCCGTCTCGCGGCCCCAAAAATGGGGCCACGAAATGCACCCAGCTTCCCTTATTATAATGTGTAAATACATGAAAAGGCTGGAACTGCGACCCCAAAATTGGGGCCGCCTGGCGGCCCCAATTTTGGTGTCGCTAAATCTGCATTTTTCGAGCCCCTGCGCTCCCCAGATTGCGACGCTACAGCAACTCTGACCCACAGGCAAGCTCCTAGCGTGGAGATTTTTTTTTTAAAGAACAACGACCCCCCACAGGCAGCTTTCTTGCGGAAGTGATCAACATAATAGAAACGGGCACCGAGGAGGCCACGCACAAGCGGACGTGACTTTTGCACACAAAAGCGGACCCAGAATCTGGCCTCGGAACAATTTCCTGCGCAAAGACCCGGAGCACATATGGAAAACCTACTCCTGCGGAAAAATACAGCTGGGTTAGCCCCAGCGGCTCCTGGCTGCCTGGCCGCGTCACTTCTGATTCTCCCTGCCATCAGCATCCACCTCCACAACCTCACCTGGCAGCGCTGCAAAGCCGCACGACACACTGCGCCGCTTGCATCTTGCCTATCTGGACGAGCGCCGACCGCATCATGTGACAAATTCCAAAGTTTGAAGTAACGCTGAGGAAATCCATGGTGCCATGGAAGCTCATGGAAACCCTCGCTGAAGCTTCTAACATCTTTTTCCAAAGCCGTGCAAAGCATGAGAAAACCAATCGAAACCCCGCGGAGATTTTGCAGGAACCCTCACAAAGCTG